TTGTGCCCCGTGCTCCCTGGAGGACCACTGGCCCATTCACACCTGGAACTAATGCTCTCTGACTGGCCAGCCAAGGCTGAGTCACCTGAGCCCTAGCCCCGTTTAAGCTGCATTCCCAGGGCTCTTTCAGGTATCTGGCATGTAACAGATACTCAACAGATGGAAGAAACGGGGAGAGAGAGGGATAGAGGAACAGAGGACCACAAAGAAAAGGGATTCTCACAAACTCCTGGGTGGGAGGCCACTTGCCCATCCCACTTTGTGAAGGAGCTGAGGTTCAGAGGGGCTTGATTATCTGTCCCCAAGTCATACGGTGGGTGAGTCACACACATTCCAATCTGTGGGTAGATGAGATGCACACACTTTCTTCAACCATTCATGTTTCATTAGATTTCTCTCTCTTTCCAGACACCACTTCTCGGAATTGCCTTATTTTTGATGTTTAATTCAGTTGGAATTATAAATCTAAATATTCCATTCCTCTGTAATAACTACCCATCATATATAGGTGTGGCCCTTAAGGTTTAACCTCCTTTCCTTTTTTCTTCTATTTCCTATCATTCTTTCCAGGGTGATTTCTCATGGCCTCAAATACCACCTTCAAGTCAGAAAAATAAAACCAAAATTTCCAACCATGACATCTCTTCTGGCTCTGGACTTGAATCTCTAAATACCTGTCTGACTTATCCACAAATGTCCCTGTCACAAATCATGCTCAACATGTTACAAACAAAACTCATTCTCCCCTGCATGAGCCATTGTTTTCTGCAATATGTAACTTACCTGAAGTAATGAGCTTTCTTCCTTATTATATAAAGTTTATCCTCACAACAATCTTCTAAGTAGGTGCTGTAGTATGGATGAGGGCAGGATTGTACAGATGACATGAATTAGTCTTGAAATCATATTTGGTTCTGATACTTACTGTGTCGTCTTAAGCCAATTACTTTGTTTTTGAGCCTCACTTTCATGGACAGTAGATACAACATAGGTTTTATTATTGTTCTACTTGAAAGTGTGGTAGGTACCCAAAGTGGCAGCATCAACAACCCACAGGGACTTGCAAGAAATACAGACTATCAACTTTACCCTAAACTTGGTGAATCAATACCTGCGACTTAATATGATCTTCCCAGGCAAATGGTTTGCATATTTAAATTTGAGCATCGCTGGCCTTGCCCACCCTTGCTAACACAAGGGTGTCATCACCTTCAGGGGAGTAGATCATTCAAGAATAGAAAAAGTCCTGTCTATAACTTACTAGAGCTACTGTTCCAAGTATTACCAATGCTCCTGTTTATCCACCCATTATCAACTATATATAGCTGCTGTAAGTGGATCTTTGATTTTATCCAGAAACCTTGAAATATCGAATTTAAATTGACTCCATGTTTAGTTTATTCACTACAGAAAGGCTCATTCTTCATTTACCATGTTAAATTGTACTCCCTCAACATTTTAAAATTTGGATTGTTCAATCTGAAGTTTTCTTTGTGTCCCAACATTACAAGGAAAAATAGAAGTACCAGTTCTCACCTGAAATATTTGGAAAATGCAACCAAATCTTTTATTCAAATAGGGATGCTGCAATAGCTTACAATTCAAGCACAAAATCTCTCATACAATAACACTGCTTAAGCAAAACTGTTTCTAGATTCTAATACTACTTAACATTTATTAAACATTCATAATATACAATGCACTGTGTGAACTGAGAAGGCTTATAGATGCTTAATAATACATTTTATAATCTAATCTTGTGTTGCTATTACTCTGACATACCACATTTCTAACAAGCTCCCAGGCAATGCTTATGCTGCTTTTCTGAGGACCATACTTTTCAATAAAAAGATTGTGGAGCAAGAAGTATTACATGAAAGTCTGAGAAAGGAAGAACAAAAACAGTGATGGGGAGGATGGCAGTAGGTGGTGGTGAGAGAAGAGAATTTGGTTTCTCTCTCTTTGAGAGTCAACTGTTAGCTCCTTAGAATCCATTCTGGTAAAATTCAGTTGGGAAAAATCTGTCACTAAGAAGTTAACCATGGCACTTAGAATAGCTTATATTGAAGTAAATCCACTACTTAGAATTGGAAGGTAGCAAAATTTAGAAAGTCCAGTAACTATGTCTTTCCTAGGTGCATATTCCATTCTTCATCTAGTGTTTTCATTCCTAGTTCCTTGACTTTTGTACATCCATCACATAACATATAACTCACAATGTCCTTATTGCTGCAGATACTAAATTATCACATTTATTATAATCTCCTCTTTGACCCAAAGGTAATTCATAACATTAAAAAAATTCCAAATATGTGATTTTTCAGCATTTGGACTTAGTTCCTAGGCTTTTTTTCAATGTGATCATTGTGCTTTCTAGAAATATATTAAAGTTTTCCCTGCACCTTAGTATGTCACTTAGAAATGTTTCAGGAAAATCTGAAAAGAACGCAAATACACACACACCTCTGAACTACTTAACTACTCCTTAACTATCTCAACTTTTCATTTACTTGACTTATTAAAGATTGTAAGTACTGAAGTCATAGTCCAACAATTTTTGCCATGTGTATTTTCTTTAATTAAAGGATTACTTTATTAATTTTAAGTACATAAAATGTATTAATTTTAAATGTACAATTTTTAAAAACATATATACATCAGTAAAACTATCACTCACATGAAGGTATTGAACATTTATTTTACATATGAATGCCATGTTATTTGCCACATAAAGCCTCTTAAATGTTACCACCTGTACTGTTTTATAAATATGTTATAGCTTGAGTTCTAATAAAAATATTGCTCCCTACTTCCATTTCTATGACTTATCGTTTCCATTATCTTTAAACTCTTTTATCCTTTGCTTTATACAAATGTGAGTATCCAGGGTTATAGATTGATTTTTGACCCAATTTTAATCTCTTTAAATAGGACTATTTAACCTGTTTATGAGTGTGATGATTCATCAGTACCTGTGTCAATCTATCTTATGCCAATTTTAATGCTTCCTTGTTGTTTTTCACCACTTCCTCTACAATCCAAACAATTGGAATATGTGCTCTATTTTTATTTGTAACACATCTCATTGTCAAATTTACTTACAATGATCTACTAGTACATGAAGCAGTAGGTATTGATTTTCTGAGGGCAAGATGCACATAAAACAAGGTTTTAATTCACGATCTCTCCAGTGAGTAATTAAAAAATTTTCTTTTTACACTACCAGTATTAGCATTACACACAAATTTGCTACTTTTCCCCCTTCTATAATTAAAACTAGGGAAAACAAAACTGTACTGACTAGTTTTCCCATTTTGCCAGATTAACATTTGGTATGCCTTTATTCTACAGGTTCTGTGCACAGTGACAAAGTCCTTTTATTATACTTATGTTTAGCTTAAGAACATGAATATCTTTATCTACATTTCATGCTAAAAATAAAACAGTATTTATTTGCTCTATATATTGAATGTTTAGCATGCCTTTTCAGTTTATAAACTGAAATTTTAGACCCAACTTACAAATTTTAGCATTTAGTTTTATAACTCTACCTAATAATGTAAACTTAATGCTGTTTAACTAATGCTTACCACTATTTTTTTTCATACAATTGCCTCCTTTTAAGTTATTTTAATTCATGTTCTTTGTTGACTGCAGTACATAATTCAGCAAATTTTTCAAGGATAGTACTTGAAAGATATACTTTCTCAACCCCTGCATACCTGTGAATGTCTTCCAGTTGCCTTGGTACAGAAATAATTTGGCAGGGTATATAATTGGTTTAAAATTATTTTCCCTTAAAACTGTAGATATTGTTCTACTGTTTTCTGGCATTTACAGTTGCAAGAGAAAAATCTGAGGTCAGCCTAACTTTGCGCCTTTATAAGTAACTTGCCTTCTCTGGGATACTTGTAGAATATTTTATTTATCCTTCCAATTAAAAAATATTACCAGGATATGTCTGGGTGTTGCTTTCTTTTCATTAAATTTTAATGGTACCCTGTGAACTTTTTCAATTCGCAGATCTAGCTCCTTCTTCAACTCTGGACATTTTTCTTCAGTTAGTTCCTTATAGTTTCAGCTTCATTTGCTTTGTCCTCTGTTTCAGGTATTCCTATTCTACATAGATTTTATCTCCTGGGCAGGTGCTCTAGGTTTCTCTTCTTCTCTTTACTTGATTTCTTTTCTCTTTTTTTCTGCATGAAAATTTCTCATTTTGCGTTAAATTCAGTAATTCCATTTTGTGCACTATGAAGCTTGCACATTTCTGTTATCTCTATCAGCTTCCTGATACTTTTCAATCTCTCTGGCAATAGCCTCTTTAACATTGAGCATAGGTCTTTAGGCTCCTGTGTGATATGATACTCAATCCTTACTACCTCATCTATTTCCACCGCTATATTCAAGAGGCGGCATTTTCTCAATTACTTAGTTGTCTTTCTTCCGAACTGCGTGATTACGACCTTGAAAATAATGAACAGAACTTAATTCCCGACTGTTTGATTGAATCAGCACAAAGATTCTCACCGATAATTATTCACGATTTTACTGAAATGCTTTATTTTTCCTTCTTACCGTTGGAATAGTACTTCTTAGCAATGGGACCAAAAGTGGTCCCATTAAAGTTAGATGTTCCGAAGAACCGAACAAAACAAAACAAACGTCCAAAACAGTGCCCCTACGTCATCTCTGACCGCCTCACGTCAGGGCCAATAGACTGGTGTAGCTTTATTGCTGAAGGGGCCGTAGCGCGTATCAATTGCAAGGCTGCAAACTTCAGCCTGCTAAGCCAAACCCCAGCACGCCATCGCGCTCCACCCCCGCCCCGCCCCGCCCCGCCCCAC